CACATGTAGTTGAAAAATTGCTTTCAGAGAATAGTTATCAGTAGTCCCCTGTCAAATAGGGAGGGCATTTCAAGTGAGATCCCAAAGGGGTCTATTCTGGATTCAGCTCTATTCAATATTTTCATTAACAATGTGGACAATGGTGCAGAGAGCCTACTTTCAAAATATGTCGCTGACATCAAGCTGGCGAGAGGGGAGTTGCAAGTGCCTGCAAGGACAGGATCTAAATTCAAAATGATCATGAAAAATTGGAGAAATGGTCTGAAATCGACGAGGTGAAACTCAATAAAGACAAGTGAAAAGCACTTAGAAAAGAGAAGCAAAATGGGGACTATCTGGTTAGGCAGCAATACTACAGAAAAGGATCTGGGGTTTATAATGGATCAAAAAATAAATATGAGTCAACAGTGTGATGCTGTTATAAAAAGACAAATCTAATTCAGGGATATATTAACAGGAGTGTCATATATGAGACATCAGAGGTAAATTACTCTGTTCAATGTGTACCAAGGATGTCTCAGCTGGCATGCTGTACTGAGAGAGAGAAAAAAAAATTGAGGAGGGTTCGGAGAGGAGCGATAAAAATGCTACAAAGTTTGGGGAACATGAACTATAAAGAAAGCTTGAAGGAATGGGATTTGTTTAGTCTAGGAAAGAGTGGACAGAGGAAGGACATGATGATAATCCTCCAATATGTAGAAGTTTGTCATAAAGAGGACAGTGATCAGTTTGTCTCACCAGCCATTTGGGAAAGGACAAAGCAACATCAGCATAATTTGCAGCAAAGAAGATGTTAGGCTGGATATTAGGAAAACAATTTTCTGTTAGCATGGTAAGACAGAGTACCAGGCTACCTGGGGAAGTTGAAGAGCAGGTTAGACAGACATGTGTCAGAGGTGGTCTAAGCAGGTTTGATTCTGCTTCAGCGCAGCGGGATGGACTAGATAATTTCTCGAAGTTCCTTCTGGCCCTACATTACTATGAAGAATTTTAAAAAGAGCTTTGTATTAGTGTTGCTATTATGGTAAAGCCACGCAGGCTGCACCCCTCAAGAGTGTGCTACAAGCTCTACGTGCAAATAGAATGATGCAGTCCCTGTATGAAAAGCTTGGAAGCTCCGAAGACAAAAGGAGTATCTTTTTTTGAAAGGAGTTGGTACAGGGAGCTAGTAAGTGACTTGCCCATGGTTACACATTTGGTCAGTGGTAGAGCCTGTCCAGCTCTCTCTCGCTCTAGTCTAATGTCTTGCTTGTAAGAGCTGCCCGCCTTCCCAGACAGCATTGCTCCAAACCAGCGCTGAAGACAAATTGGAGGTTCCACTTGACTGCATCAGAGAAGCCATACTTTGGTTGGCCCAGAAGCTGATTACCTGCTTCTGCCAATCAGGAAATGGCTTTAAGAGGTATAGGGTTGATTTTTTTGTTTGAGTGAAATCTGTTTCAGAGGGTAAACTGGCTTCAGACTGGCTGATGCCCATGAGTTTTAAAACACTTATCAATAAGCTAATCAGTCTGGCTATACCATTTTGCTAAAATAGAGTAACTCCTGATCATTATCAGGATTTGTGGCAGCATGAAAATGCCCAAATATTTACTGCCAGTCAGTGTCCTGATACCACCAAACTATCCAATAGGAGACAGAGAGAAAGGAAGACCTGATGCATAAACATCTTCAGTGATATTACATTCCTGCTATGGGGCATGTTTCTTCAGAAATCAATCTTCTTTCATGCATGCATGTCAGCATTATGTGCATTGCTTTTACTGGGCAATCTTCTCCTGCAGACTTTTACAGCGCGTTCCATTTATTCTGAACTATAGTCAGACAGAAATAGAGATAAATATCTGGCAATCTAGATCTATATAAGCTGCCTATCTATAGACAGACATCTTATATGAATCTAGATAGCTAGATATATATCTTGCATTTATATAGACTCTCTCACCCCAAAGCATTTTAAAAGCCCTTTATAAAGCATAAATACAGTACCAGTGGGATCATTTCAGATGCCAGTGAAATGCAACCACCTTTGGCGGGGAACAAGGTAGCAATTTAACAGGGCTCAGGAACATGGCACAGCAGTTTAGGAGGGAAAGCAAAGTAGTTACCCAGTATCCAAATGAAACTGCAGAGGACGTGACATGAATGAATAAACAGCACACAGACTCCATGATCTGACTCGGTGGCTGTTTTTGGATTGCTATACAGGCCTAGGTGGTAGAGGAGAATTTTTGCAAGCCGGATCCCTGGAACAGCCACTTCTACTGATAAACAAGGATTGTGTGTGTGTGTGTGGGGGGGGTACATAGGGGGAAGGTGGGAAGAGAGGGGACCAGTCAGTTTGACTGGAGTCAGTAAGACAACAATGAGCCATATGATCTTGCTCCTTGTACTAGTTTTGCTCTTCTGCTCTGTCACTTCACTCTTTTTTTCACATACCGCACCATATACTCTGTAGATGCCTTTACGCTCATCAGCTGGTCATGTACTCTGTAATAGCCTAGTGTGTATTTTTGTGACTCCTTGGTCTGCTAACGGGGGTAAGAAGCTTCCACAGCTGCCAGCTGAAGGTGTTAGTACTTTATTTAAGCCAGGGTTGGCCAACCTGTGGCATGCATGCTACAAGTGGCATGGACAGCCTGTGTGTATGGCAGGTGGTAGGTTGGGGAGGGGGCAGGCAGCCGATAGGGCAAGGAGCAGGAAAAAAAATCAGCAGATAGGGCAGGGAGCACAGGGTAGAAAGTAGAAAGCAGAGCAGCAGATTGCACATGGAGCACAGAGAAGGGAGCAGAAAGTAGAGCAGCAAACCAGGCAAGGGAAGGGGACTAGAGTGGTACTTGGGGAGGGTGTGGGGCTTAATTTGTGGCATGCCAGCCAAAAAGGTTGGTCCTGATTTAAGCAGCAGAGACTCAAACTTTTACCAGGACTTGTCCCAGATTCTTCTGTTTCAGGCATTATCTTACCTAGTCCTACTCCTTGCAGGCTGTGGTATTAGAAGTGGGACTGGTAACACTGCCTGTTATTAAGGTTTTTGGACCCTTTCTAACATGTGCCCCAGTTTTCAGTAGCTTACCATCATGCCAGAATTTAACGGCTTGGATTGTCCACAGTGCGTCTGCCTTTTCTTGGAAAATTTAAGCAAAAAAGAAAAATCTGTTTCTTAAGACAAGGCTAAGAAAAACATCCTGATGCTTTTGCTCAGGTTAAAAAATGTTGGCAAATGGTCTTTGAGCAGCCTTTGTGCCCTCATGCTTTGGAGCTGGGACTTGCAATCTAACATGAGGGATTACCTTAGGGTCACAGGCACACTTTTTCCACTCCCCCTTGGAAATCCACCCAGCTTTGGCCAGGTTATAAACCTTTGAACAATTGTAGTCAGCTTCTTCACAGTGAAGATTTTGCAGAACTTGGAGACTTAATCCCCTGCAAATTTCATGCCTCAGCCTGGGGTTGCTGGGGGCAGTGCCAGATTTCCTTGGAACTGCAGTTCCTTGTTGGGCCAGGCTGCTGCTTGGTCTAAGTATCCAAAACAAGAGCAGGGAGCTCCCTTGTAGGATCTGAGTGCTTCTGCATCTGGACCCAAGCAGCATGGAAGAAGAATCTGTGTGAATCTAATGCAGATGGGACAAGAGCTGGATATGGTGGGACTGGAACAACTATATTGATACAAACTGGAAAAATGAACATGCAGGCTGGTGGAGAGTGGAAAGGTTAAACTGGGATGGGGAGCTGGTGGGAAAGGCTGGGAAAGGAACCAAGGAATGGAGAAAAGGTTGTAATTGACTAGGCAAGGAAATTGGAGCCCTTTGGGCAAGGGGCCTAGGAATTAGTAGGCTGGGGAAAGAGATGGGAGAGTAGTGGAAATGGCTCTGCTAAGAAGTCAGAGGGTTGAGAGGGACCTGGGACTGGCTGAGCAATGAGACTGATGAAGAAAGTGGGTGAAGGGGGGTAGGGCACTGAAATCAGACAAGAAGCCCAGCTAGAGACTGGGAGTGAGAGGCAATAGGAATGAGGAAATTAGATGAGAGGTTTACTAGGGGTAGAAATATAATTTCCCAGGGGTAGAAAGATAATTTCCTAGATTTACTAGGGGTAGAAAGTTAATTCCCATTTTCTGAGTGCTTTATTTTTGCAACCATAATAATGTCCTTTTGCACAATGTTGTGCACATGGTCTGGATATCTGCAACCTGACCTATGCTTGTATGTCAAATTCAATGCAAAGTCACAGTAACTGCAAGGGGGAGTAGTTAGGTGGGGTATTGGCAGTGGGATTAAAATTTGACCAGGACATGAGACAGACGCTCCTCTTGATATGGGAGTTTTGCTGACCACAGAAAATTAGGACCACTTAGCCCATTCAGAAGCTATCATTTCCAGCAGCATGAGCCATTTCTAACAGCACCTTTTGTAGTGCAACCTGCAATTCAGCATTAGCTGCTCTCCATCGCCAAAATGCCTTGTGTTCTTCACACACTTCATCAGGGTTGGCTAGGGATGGTGTGCAATCTGCTCCCTCTTCCATTTATTGGGCACAAGAAGCCAGAGAGAGAGCAAGAGGAAAGGGAAGTTGAGAAGGTGAAGTTGTGCAGGCCCTTGAGGAGGACATCAGTGAGGAAGGGGGAGATGAAGCACTGAAGGGGTGTCTCTCGCTAGACGGCACAACAGGGCCCTGATACCTCAGCATCTGGTTGACAGTGAGTTATAACAAATAATACTGTGCCGAGGGAAGTGGGTGGTATTGCTGGAACAGCAGAAGCGGGCCATGAGCAGGGGGGAGTGGGAGTGTGAAGTGCTTGCACGGAGGGTACAGGGCCACAACATGAGCTTAGCTTCATGGATATTAGACCTTCAGTAAGTGGCCTGTTCCCATCCACATATCTTCACCAAGTAGAGCAAAGGGCTCTGACTCCTCACTTGCTGCTGATTTCTTCCTCAAAGGGTGCTGTGTTCACTGACGCTGCTCTTCTCCTTTCTTTCTTCCAATCGCTGCCCCTTCAGAGATTCCCCAGTGTGCTGGCTGCAACCAGCACATCCTGGATAAATTCATCCTGAAAGTCCTAGACAGGCACTGGCACAGCTCCTGCCTCAAGTGTGCGGACTGCCAAATGCAGCTGGCAGACAGGTGCTTCTCCAGAGCTGGCAGCGTCTACTGCAAGGAAGACTTCTTCAAGTAAGTACAACTGTCTCCTTTGTTTTGGGAGAGGCAGGAGGCAGTGCTCAGCCTTTTCTGGGAGCTCACACCAGGCTCTTGATAAAGCTCCCAACAGCCTACCCAACCTGATTTTGAATCCTGTTTTAGCTTAATTTTTCTCTGAATCAAATCCCAGCCTGTCCCAGGCACAGTTAGAGTTAGATAAAACCAGCATGTGGCTCATTTTGAACTTCTCTCCTAGGGTCATTTAGGAGAAACTTGATTGCCCAGATCACAAGAGGTACCAGGCTGAAGAGGCTGGTTAATACCATGGTGCTTTATTTCTGGGAGACATCAGAAGGGGAACTGTTTGGCTTGGTAGACATGCTAGCTGCTCAGGGCCTCAGTGCATGCTGAGATGGGTGGAAATGGAGAAGAAAGGGGGAGACGGATGATAATCATGGAAATGCAGACACGAGGGTCTTAAGCAGGCACCACTACAGACAGACATGGGAACAGTCGGACAGTTTTTAAGCATAATTTCTCCGAAATCTTCTTATAATTTTTTTTTAAACTCAAGTGTTTAAATAAAGGGAATTTTGCTGGTTTAGAGCTGCCACAGGCTGAAGGCTATTTGTGGGGATTTAACCTTCTTAGAGACCCAAATCTCTTTAATACTCCCCTGCCCCCACAGCCTCCTGTCCTATTACATTTTTAAACCCAAATTGGACTAAAGATTCGTCTTGTTAATCACCCTGCATGCACATCTGTTCAGATCAGAGCTAGAGGGCAGGAGAAACCCACACAAACACACAGACTCCAACTCCCTGCTGCTGTTCAAGGGCTCCTCTGTTTGTTTGTATTTCCCTGTCATCTTGGTGTTTTTTTTTCCTGGTAGTGTAAAACCTTATTTAATTTGCACTCTTGTTGTTTGTCATATACACATTAGCCTCTAAGCTATCTGATATACCAGAAATAGCACAATCTTTGGCTTGCCTGTGGACTTTAGCAGCACATTTTGTTCCATGGCTGCTGGCAAAATTCTGTCATTTTATAAAAGCTAGATGATACTGGGCCACACCCTCAGCTGGTGTAAATGGGTGTAACTTCATGGAAGTCAACAGAATGGTGATTACTTACACTGAGGATCTGTCTAGGTGTGTTTGGGCCATATCCTTGATGTAAATTGCTGTAAGTCCATCCAAATCTGTGAACTGAAGTTTATTGGTACAAGGTGGGGATCTGGCCCGGTACATCTTTTATGGCTTGAAGAAAAAGGAGTTAATGAGGGGCGTTTGGAGGACAGAGCCATTGTAATTTAGGACATTCAGTGTGTTTCCTGAGGAGGCACAAGGGCTATGTAATATAAATGGCTAACCCTCACTGTTGCTGCATGTTACCATTCTCTGTTTCACCTGGTCCCAGACAGGACCATTCTGTAGCATCCTGACACCACTGGTAGTTGGCATAGTCCCCTCGCTTTGTAGGAGCCCCAGGTCACACCATTCTTTTCCAGCCCACCGCCAAGGTACTTATAAAAATCTCCCTTCTAAAGTAATCCTGGATAAGGCTGCAGTAGGGGATTGGCAACAGATCTGTCCTTTGCTACAGGAGTCTCACAGACGGCAGAGTCAGGAATGTTTGACTTGAAAAATGCAAGAAGCCGCTCATGGCCCAGCTCAGCTGGGGTATCACAAAGCCAATGTTTGTCTAGCCATTCATCTCCCAAATACTATGGCATTGGTCAAATGTACTGTGAAATTATTCATTCAGCTTTTCCCAGCATAGGACTTGCCTGCCACTCAGTGCATTCAGTTTAACAGGGCGTGGAGTGTTGGCTTTGTCTTCTGGTTTCTCTAAACATAGGCGACTGGTAGGGGTGCACGGGGGTGCACGTGCCTCTCCGAAGGGGCCGGTGCCCCCCTGACAGCCGACACTGATGCTGTTGGTGGGGCTGGTGCCCTCCCTGACAGGGCCGCCGCTGGCAGCAGCTTCTGCAGGTGCTCCCCTAGATTTGGGAGGCACCAGTCACTTATGTCTCTAAAGATGGGCTTGAGACTAGTCATGGATTCACCTCAGTGTTTCGAGACTCAGGTGGCCATCGAGGTACCTCAAAAATAGAGGACAGTTGCTTTTAGTGCAACTGTACTGTCCCCACCACCATGAACGTTGCGTGCCTCCCACGGCTGGGAGGCGCAGCGAGCTCCCGCAGGCAGCCATGGCCGTGTCGGTGGTGGGGGCGTGATGGCGGTGACTGGGGAGCTCCTGCAGGCAGCTGCGGTGGTGTCGGCGGCAGGGGTGGGCCGAATGAGGCGCTCCCGCAGGCAGGGGTGGCGGTGGGGGGGGGGCGGTGCCAAGTAGTGAAAAATAGAGGACATAAAGGCATCCAATTTCATATCAGTAGAGGACAGAGGACCAGAAAACTGGACTGTCCTCTCTAAAACTGGATGAATGGCCACACTAGTTTAGACACAGGTTCTCAGATCCACAGGGATGCAGACAATGGACAGCCCCCGCTTTGTTATGCCAGACAGTTCTCTTATGTCTGTATAGCTCTGCTGGTGTTGCTAGTCCCATGCCAGATGCTCCAGGTGTAATTTTCACAGCAGGGCGGTGTACTAGGTGCTGAAAACTATTGTGTGAGAAGCCTCAGTGCCTCAGCATGGGGACAGGCTCTTCAGAAACGAACTGGGGGAAAGGATGAGGCTGGTGAGAAGCTCTCTCTGCCCCAACCCGTTAGGACTGCTTGCATCATTTGCTTCATTGGTTAAAGCAGATGAAGATGTGGAAAGGCGGGCATCCGTTTTAATAGCTGTTGCTGTGGCTTTTGAGTGGAGAGACACAAGGAGGCACCATGTTCCCACAGTGAGAGTATACAACAAGGGGAGGAGAATGGGGATGAGAAGAAACCTGTCCAAGCAGCACACCAGCCAAGCATGTGCAGTGATGAAGGAGGTTGGTGAGGGGCATGTCCCCCAGCCCCCTATCCCAGCCTTTACCAGGCAGAAGAAATGACAGAACACATTCAAAGCAACCACACGGTCTTCTGACTTCTAGGCAATATTAAGGCTTCTGCACAGAATTGAGATAAACCCTGCCCAGAGGAAAGAAGGCATGGGGAGTGAGGTAAGGAGAGCATCCCCTCCCTCCTGAAGGAGGGGCTGTGTGTGACTTGGGGTGTGGAAGGGCACAGAGGAAGGGCTGGGAGTGGGGACAAAAGGGGTTGCCCCCTCTCCCCCCACAAGTGCAGCATTGCAGGGCTTGCTGGTCTGCTTGGGTTTTTGTGTTGACAATGTAACAGCTCAGAGCACTGTAAAGCACCCACTGTTATTAACTGGGCTGTTCAGATGTGCTACCCTATCTTGTAGGAGTAGCATGCTTGTGTCCAGACATAGGGAGCATGAAAAATGTGGGAGTCAGGACACCTGGGTTCTTGTCCCAACTCTACCTTAAGGCAAGAAACTTAATTTTTCTGTCTTGATTTGCCTGGCTTTAGAACAGGGGCAAAACTCTGCCTTGTAGGACTGTCTTGAGGTGGAATGAATTAACGTCTGTGGTGTGTTCAGAGCTCCTCAGATGGAAGGTGTCCAAGTGTTAACTGTTAGTGCCAGTACCTTTAAGTGAAGCTCTTAAATCTCCATCATGCTGCCATAACACAGTGGCCAGCTGTCTGCTGGTGCAAATCCACAGTGTCCTACCTCTCGTCTTTTCATTTTTAAGCATTAGCCTGGTGAGTAGCTAAGCATTTTTCACTGCTGTTGCTGGATCTGGATAGCTTGGCTGATTCATCATCACTGTGTGTTTCAGCATCTGGTTTTGTGAATGTAGCCTGTTGGACAGCTGTCTTTGTTACAAAGCAGTCACCATCAGCAGCATAGGCAACATCCTCTGCTTCAGAAAAAGTGACCTGGGTTTGCTTCAGGTGTTGCCCATTTTCATAGGACATAAATCTATCATGCCTCTCTAGTAATTGTTCCCAGTTGTTTTAATTGCATTAATAGGCTTCCCTCAGTGATCCATGGTAGCGGCTTTACTCACTTGCTTCTGTAAGGACAATGACTGTAATAATAGCACCCCCACGGTCCATGCAGGAATGAAAACTCCATTGTGCAAGGCATCATGAGCACACTTGTCAGTAAGTCAGGCCTGCTCTGAGAGCTGAGGTCAGAAGACACCTGCTGGACAGGACAAGACAATTCAGGGAAGGGAAGGGGTGGAGGATGAGGTAGTGGCGAATCGAGTGCCATGTGCATTACTCTTGTCTTACTACATGCCTGCCACTGGCAGTGACTTAATAGCCCTTCTCTTTTTTTCCTTTGCCTTATCATTCTCTTAATTCCTGCTAAATCCTTTACCATAGGTAATAACAACTGTCCACTGGCACCTGGCAGCAGTACCCAGCTATCTTTGCAGTTTCAAGCTCCACATTTCATCTCACAACACATTTCTGTAGACCACCAGGGTCAAATAGGGATCTTTATTTTTTTTTTACCCGCTTTTTAAAGCAATTTTCCAGCTCACTGCAAACAGGAGTCTCCAGGAGTTTACAGGCAAGATAGGGGCTGAGTGAGGGAACACAGACGTGGTGACTTGCCAAGGTTCCCCAGCCTATCAGCAGCAAAGCCAGGAGTTTAATACAGGTGTGCTGAGTCCCAACTGTGTGCCCCCATTGCAGGGCTGTGGTGCTTTTTTCCATCATAAACTAGCACTTCTCTGCAAAAGTAATTTCTATTGCTAGTCCTGCAACAGACTAACTGCCTATCTTGGACAAGTCTCTTAACTATGCTATACCTCAGTAACCTAGGTACAAATACAGCTAATGCTTACCTACTCTGCAGGCATGTTGTGAGGCATGTAGTTTATTAATATTTGCTCTGGCACCAAGATGTAAAAATATTATTATTAACATAACTATATTCATATTATAAAACCCACAGACTTAAAAAAATTAATCTGGGATTCTGTATTGGTCAGATTGTGATTATGCACCTGGTAAAAGCATTTCATTTCCGATATTTTCCAGACTATTCATCTCAAAG